TTAAGTCTGTGAGTTAAGCCTTTCAGCCCTGTATGAAATGTTCCAATGATTTGAGCCACTGGTTCTATGAACCTTCTTCGAACAAACAAGCTTGTTTTGTATGATTTCATGTTTGTTTTAAGTAGCTACACTTTTCTGGAAATGGGTCAAGGAAACAAAACAGGAAAAAAACAAAAAACTCAGACAGCTTAAAAACCATCAAAGACAGGGAAGTGTGTGCCAAAGCATCTGGAGAGCCATGGGCATGTTGAACACAGAATATCCATTCCCCTGTTCCATGACTTCATAAGGTACTGCTTCTTGACAATACTCAAAACATTTCAACTGATGTACTGTATATTCCACGAAATGCTTGTTATTTATTTGTAAGTATTTATTATTTATTTATTTATTTGGTTTGTGGTTTTGAATGCATATTTATGCATACATATTATACTCTATGCTTCTGAGCCTTATGTGAAGGCTGTATTGTTACTCAATCTTAGCTAAAATATACTTCTCTGTCCTGAACCTGTCTCGACTCTTTTTTTATTTATTTATTTATTTTTAAGCTTTTAGTACTTTTTAAAATCAGACTGATTGTGTAGCTCCATCACTAGGTAGGAATGGGCCAGTAGAGGGTGCCAGAATCAGTGAAGTTGTGTGATTTTGAAAAGTTTATTCATTGTCACCGCTGCAGCTCTGTAGTTACAGCTTTCTTTACCCCCTGAAGGTCTACTCGGAGTAACCCTTGAAGCTGTTTTCTGAACTGAGACGTTTCTTTAATATTTGGGGCCTGTTTATAAAACAAAATGACTGGGTTTGCATCAGAAGTTAGTGAGGGTCAGTGAGGATGGTCTCTGCCTGTGTAGCTACCCTTGGAAAAAAAAACAAAACTGTTGTAATCACATGTCTTATTTTCTCAAATATACCGAGGTATCAAAACTCGTGATTGAGAGTACAGGGGAGGCCATCAAATGTCGTCATCATGGGGGGAAAGAGTTAAAAACAAACCAAAATTATTAATGAGACCACACGAAGCAGATTTATGCATTTTTCTTTAAATTCTACGCCCTAATAACATCTATAATATTACAAATGTGTTGCAATGTGAGTTTAGTGCATTAGATGCTCAAAGTTAGAGTTTAATCAATATAGTAGTTGTATAGTAGTTTAAATCAAACAGTCCAGATGTGATTGAAGTGCAGACTTGCAGCTTTAATGCAAACATTTCACATTAAAGGTTTTGGGATTGCAACCATTTTTCTACAAACTTCCTCATTTTCAGAGGCTCAGACATAGTTTTGATGTCCAGATGAGGCGTGTTCTCATGTTATTTCATTACAAATGTTTCAAGCAAGAGATGTGGAGCTGATACCAAGTGCTGAACTTGAAATTGGAGACTGTTCAGTGGAACTGGCAGTGTGAGCTCCAAAAATGAATGTGTACTAAAATATGGGAAGAGAAAAGTATGAAGAAGATAAGGAACAGCTTAGCATGTCTGCTAATTGAACCTGGTCTCTGGTGTTGATGATGTGACTGCTGACAGGAGTAGAAGGATGATTTGTGAAGTGTGCAGCGCTGTGCTCTGCTCAGATTCAGCTAAATACTCCATAATTGATGGGTGCTAATGGATAATGACCCAAAGCAAACTGCAAAAGCAACCCAAGAGTTTGATTTCAATGCAAAAGAGCATGCTTTGGAGTTTGGTAAGACAAAACTGATGACAAAGAGACAAGCAAACAAGCAACTGAAGGCGGCTGCAGCAGAGGACTTAAAGGGAGGACACGCAGCATTCGGTGATGTCCATGAGTTGTAGACTTCAGGACGTCATTGACTGCAAACAATTTTCATCAAGTACTAAAAATAGTCCTTATGTTTAAAGTTATATTAGTTTGTTCAATTACTTTTGTCAATGCAAAATATTTGTAGAGCCTCAAAATTAAAGCTGAAAATCGGCACTTCAGTCATATTTTAATTAAAATGAAATGCTTTAAATTTCTTTGTACTTACAACATTAGCCTGCCGAGTTAGCACCTCATATTTATCGTTAGTGCCAAATCACAACAACAATCCCCTTAAGGTGCTTTACATTGTAGGGTAAAGACCCTACAATAATATGACCCCCCTTTTAAGCACTTGGGGACAGTGGGAAGGAAAAACTCCCATCAAACAGGAAGAAACCTCAGGCACAACAAGGAGCCATCCACCACAACTGGTTGAGGGTGAGGGGAGGGAAACAGGACAAAGACACACTGTGGAAGAGAGCCAGATTAATATTAACTAAGATTAAATGCAGAGAGGTGTATCCACAGAGAGGGTGAAGAAGAACACTCAGTGGGCGCCATGACCCACCCAATCCTCCAGCAGCCTAGGCTTATTGCAGTGTAACTATAGGATTATTCAACGTCACCTTATATTTATCAAAAAGCAAAGGTTAAAGTCTGATCTTAAAAGTAGAGTGGGTGTCTATCTCCTGAAACTGGGAGCTGGTTTCCACAGAAGAGGGACCTGAAAGCTGAAGACTCTGCCTCCCATTCTACTTTTTACTGGAAACCACAGTAAGCCAGCAGTCTGAAACTAAAGGGCTCTATTAGGGTGACACAGTACTATAAGGTCTTTAAAGGGCCTGATTATTTAAGAGCTTGTATGTGAGGAGAATTATTTAAAATTTGATTCTGGATTTAAAAAGGAAGCCAGTGAAGAGAAACCAATATGGGAGAAATACCTTTGTCACCAGTTGTTTCATTTAGTATATGAATTCTTGTTTCATAAGATCAAAGTGACTCCATCAGTTAAATTACTTTGAAACGTAATCCTCATTAAATAGTGTTTTCAGGTACATTATATTATACCTTGCATAAAACTCAAATCAAAGCAGAGCTACCCACTGTGGCCACCACCTGTGACGAGGGAGCAGACAAAAGTAGCTTTTTATATAATTTAGAATCATAACGATATCATTGTATTCATTTAGCCACAGATTGAAATAAACTGTCAGTACGCTCAGAGTACAACAGGTGAGGGACGTCCTCCAGGGTTAAAATTTTTATTGCCATCATACAAAACACATAAAACATACAAAACTTGTTACATTAAAAAAAATTCAAGTTTTTTAGAAAGCCTCAGGGAAATGCTTGGCTTTAAATGCCTTTGGGCAAGTCCTTGTCTCAAAAGAAACCATCAGTATCTCCTCTGTCGTGGTGAGAAGATGGTGTTGGGGTTGCTGTCCCGTTCCCTCTCCTTCTCCCGCTCCCTCTGGCTGTTTGGAGAAAGGGCTTCCTCCAGCTTCTTGTCACTCTTGAAGAGATCTCTTCCTGTGCGCATGATGTGCTCCTCAATCTTGCGGTGGCGCTTCATGTCTGACAATACTTTGTCCAGCCGAGCTTCCCTTTTAACAGAGGAGCGGGCAGAAGATCCTGAGAGACAACAGGCAAAAATCATTATTAATAAAAGACAAAAAAGTCCAGATTATAAAGAGACAACACAAATAATTGATTGTGACATACCTGGAGTCCTGCGCCGGCTTAGGAAGGCATTTTTTGGAGTGGTTTGCATTTGCTCCTCATCAAAGTCAAACTCAGTTGGAGTTGGAGGCCTGAAAAAACAAAACAAAACATGAGGGTGTTAACAACCAAAAGCACTCGAACCAAACTCCTTAATCCTGAAATGACCAAAAGGAAAAGCAACACTGACTTGCGTTCCCTCTCCTGCCTCTCCCGTTCCTTGGCTGCCTCCTCCTCTTCGTCTCTTTCGGGCGAGGAGGTCTGTTCAGGTGTGGGGGGCCTTCTAGGAAGGGGCACAAAGTTCAATTCCAGCATATCTCCTTTAGCAAGGAGCTCATAGAGTCTTTTGATCTCTGCGGGAGGAGGCATCCAGTTTTTGGGGTCCTCCATTTCCTCGTCGCTGTATGGAAGCTCCCAGTCACCGTCTGCCTCTTCGGCTTTCTGTTTTCCATCTTCAGCCTCCACCCCTGCGTCTGCCTGAGATTCATCCTGCCGCGCCTCTCCTCCCACTGCATCTGTGTTCCCATCTGAGAAAAAAAACGTACACAGTCAGTTTAAAATCTCTTTTAAAAACAATAATGAAGCGACATTTTATTGTGGATTAACCCTATACTGGGCTTTGATGTAGCTCCCCGCCCTCAATTTAGAGCTACATGCTTTTGTTCTGATTGGCTGCCCCTCAGAGGGTCTGAACTGCAGGTCCGTGTCGCTGATGTGTGAGGCAACCGCATAAGGAATATTGGCTTCCACTGACAGATCCATGTGTAGATTGTAGGCTGGACTTTTGAAGGGGATTACTTGTACATACACTGACCTCAATATGTGAAGGTTTAGCCATGTTTAATAGGAGCAATCAGCACTGCAAAAAGTACTGCATGTATGACAGAAAGCAATACATAATAGGTCCAATTTAAACATCTTTCAAACACACTGCTTTGACTTCTCTGTGACAAGCTCTACGTAGGGATGGACTGATATGTCAACAAAACATCAACATCAGACCCACTGATGGGCATCGGGGTGCAAATAGCAAAACTATTTGAAAATCAGTGGTGACATTTATTGATAGCAGGAGCCAACGTTTCTCTCGTGTGTAATATATTTTCTGCAGCAAGTGATAGAAAAGCCAAAAGACTTGAAGTGATCAAGTACATCAGGGCACAGAACAACACAGACTTTTCTAATGAAGGCTGGATCAGATACTGAGCATTACTGAATAGTTTCATAGAAACCATTTTTTTAACTTATATATATACTGTTTTAAATTAAAAGACCTCCAACTTTCTTAATGTTCACAATTGGATTGATTCTAGTATTAATATTTTGTATTGATTTTTTTGTTTTGTTTAATAGATGGTTTGTGCATTTTATTGCTGTCTTTTAACCCTGGAAAACAGTTTGGACGACTATGTTGTTTTTTTTAAAGTGCTCTAGATTGGATAATCTAGGTATAATGACGCAGGGACAAAAAGATACTTGATTTCTGTATTTTAAATATACATCCCCATCATAAATCCAGTTGACTGCAGTCTATATACCAATATAAGCAAATATATTACAGTTAAAAACAGAAACATCAGAAATCCCTTTTGGACACAACACTGGTGCTCATGTTTACTCTGACCACAGCTTATATCTAGTCCCAGCAGTCTGTTTGCTTTTTCTTTTTAACTTTCATACAAAGAACTAGCGCAGGGTGTACCACACCAATGCCAACTCCAGCACCACACCCACACCAGACCCTGGGTGAATAAGCATTTAAGAAAATGGGCGGATATAGTCACTCATTTTGCCTTTTGTGCCAATTTGTAAAAATGTAAAGACTTAGGAAGCCGACA